CTACAACTTCTATTGGATCTACAGATTTTCGTGCCACTGACAAAGAGCAGTCAGATGAACTCAATCAGAATTCTTTCAAAACAACTAGATGTGAACGAGTGATTCGAACCCCTGAACGATTATACCTCATGAACTTTCAATCAGACTGTGAAATTGGTGAAACTCATCGGGGAAGTGTGTCGCGAACGATGCATAGGGAACGGATCGAGCTTCAAGACCGACGAGAATCGAAAAAGAAAGTTTGTATTTTAAGAACTGGCACCGATGAGTGTACGCTTTTTAGAACAGTGACACTGTAGAACAATGACGCTAAATAATTAGAAGTGTTTTTGATGTTGTAATGATTTAGATATTGATCCTGTTTCGTGATAAATGTAAAGAATAAAGTAATTCGTGTCAATTTTAGATGAGTTTTGAACAGTGGCGTAACTAGAACTATAGGGCCCCTTCGTAAAAAAACATTCTTGGCCCCCTTAATACATTACAGTACGACCCCCCCCAAAAAAAAACTCGAGGTTGCCAGGTGCCAACATTTTGATAATGATTTTTATAAGATTAAGATTAATAGTTAAAAATCTGATATGGACACACATGACATCCTTGTATCGCAAATACTAAATTATATTCACTTTTTGTCTCATTTCATTTAAAGTTATTTCCTCGAATAATTTTAACTTAATTATCCGATTCCTCAAGGCAAGATGAAAATGACATCAAAAATTGCAAATTTTGAATTGAATGCCCCGGTCAGTTTTTGTCGCACGGCAGTCAAACTTCTAATTTATTTTTTCGTAACGAGTACAAAACTTTCCCAAGTATAAGTATAGGAACCGGGAGACCGAATAAAAAGTTAAATTTCTTTATTTGTCGAAAATTATATATATATTAATTTGATATAGCCAAAACATTCTTCGTCAGTTAAAACACTTCTGTAATGGGAAGATATGACTATGACTAACGCTTGTGAAAATAAAGGCCTAGATAAGGGGTTGATATATATGTAGATGTACACTGCCAATTGCAATAAAAATTAGAGTTTCACTAATGGATATTATAGCAGCCCCATGTGAAAAATTTTAACGCTCTACAGCTAACCGTTTTTGAGTTATGAAATGCATATATATACATATATGTGCCTACATACGTACATGCGAACATACAAGTGTCGAGAAAAAATCCCTTTTGAATACATTTTGGAAAAAAAAAGATTATTTTATCTGTACTTGCAGACATAAAGCCCCCCCACACATAAAATGGATACGGTATGGTTTATCCGATTACGGCAAAGCCTCAAGAGCTACCTTCCTAGGGAAAGGGATGCCTTCGTGAAGGTCTTTCCAGGGGAACTGGTTCGTATACACGTTACAGATGAGGAAAACTGCGAAGGCCCATGCAGCTAAGCTGTTCGGGGTATTCAAACCTCGGACCGAACTACCAGTGTTTAGCGACTTTACTGCTCAGCCGCTGGTGCGTCCCAGATGGATTTGGGAACGGTCAAAATGGATATTTCCATTGAAATATGATAATCAAAGTTTTTCGTGATTACGATTACTTTGTGCATGATATTCGTACAAAGAAATAAAAAAGAGAATTTTTAATTTCATGCAAAAGCTTTGTTTACAAACAAATACTACAGTCAAAAGTCGTTAATTCGGACACCCATAATCCGGAATGATCTATAATCCGAACCTCAAAGCTAAAAACTTTCTGCGCATGCGCCGCGTTGGCACATGCGCACAGGCGTTTTAGGCGTGCGCGTAAGATTTTGACTACTGCGCAATATGCGTGTGCGCAAGTGCAAAAACGTTTTCGCCTGCGCGTTTAATGTATAACGGACGGTGTAAGCTAAAATTATCTAATTATCTATTTCAGTTAATGTTAATGATTGCGTTGTTCCTTAATCTTCGAATTAGGATCCCGGCTTATTATTTTTTGCAGACTGTAAGAGCAATTTTATAAAAGTAAAAAAACTTGAACTTTCGATTATGTCAAATAGAATTTCCGATGCTGGAACTTCCAAAGGATCTACAAAACGAAAGTATGTTTCGATGTCCAACAAACAAAAAGTGGAATTGCTGCAAAAAATGGATAAAGACATGAAGAATGTGGCAGAGAGGTTAGTGAAAAACGAAAAAATTTCGATTGACAAGTTAGTCGGTATTCTCGGCACAGCAATTAACGGGACTTGAACAGCGGGACTTTGTAACTGAACAAGAAATTATGTCTGTTTATTTATAGAATTAAAGAGAAAAAGTATTATCACATAAAAAATGAAGCAACTTAAACAACTTACATTGAAAGAATGTTTAATAAAGTAAACAAATAAATATTAAGCTTTTTTTTTTTTTTTTTTTTTTTTTTGTAAATTTTGATACTCTTTAGATCATAATTGTTCTTTATTTCATAAATTACGGTTTCATATTTTTAATTTTAAAATTTCTGCATGCCATCTTACGAGATTTAAACTGATGATCTATAATCCGGAAAAATCGATAATCCGGAATCGCCGAAGTCCCGACGAGTCCGGATTAACGACTTTTGACTGTACTTAAACAGTCAATTAACTCATTTTATACAGCAGAATTCAAATACTTAACAGTGCTTGAGAGCATTTTTATAACGTTGTAAGGTATTATTACTCCTGCCTTCTTGGCATGCCTACGTGGTGTAGTAGTCATGCCGCACCGACACTACAAGCATCTATGGCTTCCCATCTCCGGGATTCGAAACCGGACCCTTCGGCACAGCAGCCAGCGACGCTAAGCACTAGCATATTCACAAAGCCTACAGACCATTTCTTCTACGGTCTGCTCTCATTGGATGAAACATCTGCTTGTCAGTCATATTTGGAATGGCGAGTTATCGATTTGTAGGCGTGGTAATTAACGCCAAACAAACCTTGTAGGCTTTCTTACAGTGAGGAGAAACAGCTTTTATTTCATTCGACAATTTTTTATTTTATGAATGAAAGCTAAGGGGAATTGGGTGGAATATATTTTAAATAACCTACTGATCTTATTAATAGTTTATTTGTATTTGAATTTAAACTCTTAAAAATACGATAATTGTTTTGAAGGAAAATGTGTTTACATTTAATATTTACAATCAATACAATCAATCAATTCAATAAACATTTAAGGGCGTCGGATACCTATTCTTTTAACCTAAATTATGAGTAAGTATAACTAAAATTATATTTTATTCCATAATGCGCTGTTTCTATTGAAACACTTTTCGGGATCTTGGATCATATTCTTGCTACCAGTACCTACTACAAAGAGTACAAACCAGTAGATAAAAATAATAATAAAAAAAATTAGTATTAACAAAAATAGAGAAAATGAGTGTTAAATTTTTAACACCTCACACGAAAGCAAAAAGACCAATAATGATATAGTCATTCAATAAAGTGAGGATAAAAACAAATCCGTCCAGGGCAGAGCTGGTAAAATTTCACGAGCGCGAATAGAACCGGCGATCAGGAAGTCCGAGAAATTTGTTTCTCCTCGTTACCGTTGAGCTGCGGTTTCGCCGTTGGCTTTCGCACACTTTACGGTACACGAGGCTGGTATAGAAGTAGTATAGGCGATGAAGCAAAAGTCGCCAAGTACAAGATTCTGTAACCCTACGTTTCCTGTTTTAACTAATCGGAGCAAACAGTAGAAGAAACGGTCTGTAGACTTTGTGAATATGCTAACCACTATACCGGTTTGGCGGCGAAAGCTCTCCTCTAGAAGGGAATCAAAATAAAAGCATATAGCTTTTCTGCTTTGTATTCAGTGAAGCTTTGGTGTACGTAACACTGAATTCAGCTTTTTTTTTTTTGCTTCCAAGAGCCCCCTAATTGTGCCATATGACGCAGAGGCAAAGAAAGTCTATGTAAAGAAGGAAAGGCTCCATAGACGTAATGTAAACCAGTTTGACTTCTACGCCACTAGAAAGAAGAGAGACAATTCGCCAAGGGATTTGGCGACGGAACCTGTTGGCGAGAATTTCCCCCTTTGTGATGTACCTGGCCGAGATTCTCCACCTCCGCCACGTGTACAAGAAATTGAGGAACACGGGTTAAGATGAATCGTTCTTTGACTTTTCGCGATAATTTAAACTCGAATTTTCGTGCTTTTTTGCTTTACTAGTTGAACTTGTATTTTCCATATCGCAGTTTGATGTCTGATTTTATATCTGTCAATACGTAGGGAAAAAAAATGGAGTCACACAGCTTTAAACTCTTGATAAACGTGACCGTCGAACCTGTTCCAACTTCGAGCTTTGGCGCTTTTTGGCGAAAATTATTCCACGCATGCGCAGTTGTGTCCCTTTTCGTTCGGAGGGAGCCACTCCTGCTGCTGCGAAGCTTTCCTTCTTAATAATACATATTCTTTGGCAGAGGACCCCTGGAAATTTAAAAGAAGACGGATTCTATTATATATGTAGTATTTAGAAAAGAATCTATCGTCTTTTAAGTTTAAAAATATAAATGTAGTTTTACTGTTTCTGTTTTTACTGAAAGCCACTGGAATGCCATGGGTTAGGTGAGTTAAAGTTTTCGACGCAAAATGCCAAAACGAAATTAATAACCCTAACACCCTTTGGGCTAAAAATGAGAATAATATGTGATTCTGAATCACAAAGCAGTTATGTAACTAAAAACTGTGAAATAAATCTTGCTGACAAGTTTGCGCTTGCGAAGTTACTTGATCCAGATCGTATCTGTATTTACGTTCCTAAAATTAGCGATGTTGCTCGTTTGAAAAGAAAAGATCTTCTTTAACCGATTTTTCAAACGAAGAAAATGAATCTGCTGATATTCAGATATTATTAAGAGTTCATGTACTGTATCAGATTATCACGTATGATTTTCTAGAGTTTAATTAAAATTTATAGTGACTATTTAAAATAGTCCGACAAGCCTTTAAATTTCAATTTGAATAAAATTCAACATCTGCATATGGCAACAACTGTTATATTTACCGCGCTTTTAAGGAACACGGTATTGCGTAATGAAATGAGGAACGCCTTTTTAGTTATCGCATTTGAAATCGTTCTGCGTGATTAGTAGATATTCTTAAGTTTAAATAGTTTTTTTGAAACATTTAAACTTTGAATTTAATTATTGTATTAAAAATGAATTATGAAACTGCTCATAAAGAAGTATGTTTTCTTATTAAAGATTTAAATTAAAAATTTTGTTAATCTGAAAAATTACGTTATGAAGTCGAAGTTACATCACACGCTGTATTAAAAGTTCTCATTAAGCTTCAAGTTATTTTTGGCAAATTCTAAAAAGAATAAAATTAGAAGTAATCTGTGTGATATTTTTGTTATTATTTCTTAATTTCAATTAAAATATTATTAATTTTTTAAATTTCACCTTTATAATATTATGCGAGAGAAAAGGCTTTAATCAAATTCGTTAGAAGGTACTTAATAATAGTAATTCTTCTCGGTTCGAATCCAGGCTAATGAGCTGGCTGCATATTTGGTTTTGATGTTTTCCTCATGATAGTTTCCTTGTTTGATGGTTTACCGTATACTAACCAATATCTCTACGAAGACATCCTCATCTTCGGACACGCAGACCTTGTGTGCTTTGCCATACTCAAATAACTAACCAGTCGTAGAGGAAAATAGTTTAAATTAAACTCTTAAGTAGTAATTTATGTATGGTTAATCACATGTGTTTATTATTCAGTTTTTCTTGGGGTTATTTATAATTTTATTCATTGTCAAAATCTGCGAGTATTTTTATGTTTTCTGAAGTTTACATTGCATAATTAACTTATAGTAGGGCATAATAAATAATCTGGGATTTAGTTCTGTTGTATGTGTATTTTAATATAATCTATGAAGTACTACAAATGAGGAGCTTCTGTTATTTTCTCCAAAGTTTTTATATGCAGTTTGTGAAAAAAATTCAGTTTTGAATATTTTGAATGTCAAATTCTTGCTGTTTGTTAATAATCAGTCTCATAATTATTTTCTTGGCTTAAAATAATTTTATTTCATAATTGCTGTGAACTAACATGCATGAGCATTCAGAAATAATAAATAACTATTAAATTTATTAGTCATGTAATCTAACTGTGTATGAAATTTTTTTATTAATACTTTTTGAATTACAAAAATTAGAAGAAAATATACATCTGAGAAACAGATTTATTTGGATAAACAGCATTATATCCATTTGTAATTATAGTATGCATTTTATGATTTAAAATTAGTAATTACATATTTGTAATTAATAGTAATTTATTCTCCTTTTCTAAAAATTCATATTTTGCAACTTTTAATTCTTTTAGTTATTTTTTATTTATTTGTTTTTACAGGATTCCAAAGTAAAAAAATCATTATATTGACTTTCATCATTTTTTTCTTGCGTTGTATCATGTCATATATTACTGTAGTAGTAGGCTGTCATGTTAACAAGATTTGTTCAAGCCATTTAGTTTTCATACATGATACCTCTCGTGGTGGCCAACTTTTATTAAGATGATCCCACTGTGATGACCAGTATTTCTGAGAACATAAATAAATATCTCTGTGAAGCATCATCTTTCTAAAATGAGCACCTGCATAGAAGCCCAAACTTGTATAAAACTGTTGTTAGTTGTCTGACGAGGGATCATTATACATGAAATAATTGAACATGGTTAGCTGTATCCCAGCTTTAATATCAAAAGTTAAATGTGTGGAATCTTCCATTGTTTTCTTCAAAATTAGCTAATCAGATTATAATGGAAGTTAAAGAAGTATAATATCTTTAATTTCCATGAGTTCTCACTCATAGATAATTCTGAAAACATTGCCACGTGATGAAACATAAGATCTTTAATTTTTTTTTAGTTAAATTAGTCTGCTGCTGATTAATAAACTGAGCAATTTAAAAGGATCAAATATAATTTAATTTTGTATCTTTCTTTTTAAAAACAAACTAATTGAATTAAAATATATTTAATTTATAATATGGCTAATTGATAATTTTTATGAATACTCTTTATGCCGTTGTTATAATTAGTAAAAGAGGTTTCTAATATCATTCATTATGTAAGTGGTTACAAAATTATATATTTTAAAATTTTTCTGATTATTTTTAAAATTCTGTGAATATATTTGGAATTTTTTATGTAAAACTCTTCATTTAATCTGCACTTTTCTTGTTCATCTCCTCAAATTACATGAGCTGTTAATTTCTAACATTTTAAATTATAATTTCTTTCAATCTTTGTTTCTTAATATATTAATATTTTTGTTTTGTTTTTCTTCCTTTCCCTGTGAGGTGGCCAAGTTAATAAAGCTATTGAATGCTGGTAGTTTAACCCGAGCTCTAATATTGGAGAACAAGTTAATTTCATAGGCCCTTTATTTTAATGGTTTTTCCCATAAGGTGAATATGAGCCAGTTTTCCGTAGAATGTCCTACATGAATAAATTATTTAACTAGCCACTGATATGCTATCAAAATTGAAACAACAGGCAAAGACGGGCCTTTTGTTAAAGTTTTATCTTTTTGTTCATTGGTTTCTAAACAAAGAAAAATTACTTCCTTTTAAGATACCAGCCAGAACTTAAATTGTGCTGGAACCCTGCGAAGCCTGGCTCCAGTACTTCTCATTTTTTAAGAATCGTAATTTTAGCCAGAGTACACCAGAGCCCTAAATAAAATGACTCCAGCACATTTTTCTTGTAAATTAACCCTGATTTCAGGAAAAAAAATTATTTTAGTAATTAATATGCTTTTCAAATTGAGTTTAAGTTCTTTGAAAGCAGGCCTGTCTTTGCCTTGGATGAAAAGTTTGTACAGATGTTGAAAGTTTTATATTAAAAAAAAAAAAAAAAAAAAAAAAAAGCTCCCCCCTCACATGTCAAAGGCTTATGCTACACTAGTGAATTCCTACTGAACTGCTAATCATGCCATGCTAATGACTTCCTAGACTTTTTGAATGATGTAACCAAATGTGGGAGACCACTATTGTCACTTGCATAGAGGAGTCTTATGTTTATTCTCACATCATTATCGTATCATATTCCGGAAAAATTTCTGCTTATGTTTCTAATTATATTGACGGAGCATCGCAATCTAAAAGTCTTGAACTTTTCCCTTTTTAATTTTAAAGCTGCACTTTTCCATTAAAATTTCCATCCATATCAATAATTCATTAAATCCATAGCTGGATACTGTTTCTAGGATTTTCCCTGTTCTTTTGTGTGACATTTGTTTCCTCTGTGACACATTCCACATTTTATCTTGTTCAGGTTTTTTTTTTTATTTTTTTTTAGGGGTGGTGAAAGAAAAGAATGGTTTTCATAGTTATCATTCCTTGAAATAGTACATTATATGTATAATCAGGGCTTAAATTCAGAGGGAGATCACCTGAGCTATTTCTTAGCTTCAGAGTAAGACTGTAATTCTAGCCATAGCCTCAAATAAGATGAGGTCTGAAAATTTATTTTTTTATTTAACTAGTTATAACTAATTTAATAATATATTGAACTTTCTTATTTATCTGTTTACATTTCTTTGAATTTTAATTTAATGATTTAAATTTGTATTTGTTTTATTTATTCATTGTTTCCTTCCTTCCTGATTGTCTAGCACAGAGCTCTGGCACTTCTAATTTTAGAAATTAAGCTCTGATATCAGCTAATAAAGGCAGATATATTTTTATTGTCTCAACTGATTAATTCTTAACTAACAAACAAAAACCAAACAAAAAAAAAAAAAAAAAAAGGGTTTCAGATTTTAAATTACATCCAAAGGTGCGTTTTTTTAACATTTTGTGTGTTACCTTTATTTATTAAATATCATGTTCTTTGCACTTAAACCTTAAAATTCAGTTCAAGAGCAATATCGCAAAATAATTTTAAATTGAGCACATCTTTAGAATTTCCAATACACAGTCTCACTCGCTGGAGATGAAAAAAAATTTTCCGTACAACGTTGCTATTACTATTTGAAATCCTTGATTGTGTTAATCAGAAATTTGTTAAAGTCTTACAAAATATGAAATTGATAATAAAACAAATTCCAAATTGGGCTTCCAGATGCCCATATTCGCAGTAGGATTACGTCGTTCAAAATTGGATGGCTCTAGGTACCGTTGTTTTATCACAATGCAAAAAACATACATACATTTATACAGATTCTTCATTATTTAATTTCTTTAAATATAACACAGGGCTCTGATATTTGGTGGCAACAGTTTTAAAAGTGATACAGCCTTTTAAAGATTTCAATGCAAAATGAAAACAATAGTCTGTCAAGGACAAAGACCTAAAAATCTGGAGTTTTTTCTCAAAAAGGGAAAAAAAAAATCTTCTTGTATATAATCAAAAAAACATCAGGATTAATAAATATACAATTTTTGGTACTTTTCCGTTTTGCCGGCGCAAGCGATGAAGTCGCCAATAATGGTACAACCAATGCCAAATGGATTATTCTCTCTGGTAATCTTTTACGCGTCATTTTCAAAACAAGTCGCAGCTTTTTCTTATCAGATTGATTGTTTCTTTCAATACTGGCATATAATTACATATAATTTTTATCAGATAGTTCAGTTTTATGTCTAAGGCCATTTTCGGCAATTAAATCAATTAGGATGCAATCACAGCGCTTACCCGAAGCCGAAAATATAGAAAAGGTAAAGTCAAGGGTTAAATTCATCAATTCTAATAAGAATGCATTAGCGAAGTAAAGCACTGCAGTTTTACATAATTTCTGAGTAAGTTATTCGTACGAATTGAAGTATTTCTTGCATTTAAACTTGTGTTCCAAATTAAGATTTAACTTGAAATTAATGTAGATAATTACTGAGAGCATTATATTTTGTAGAGTAGTTTATGTGAGATGAGATTGCTTGGGATCACGTGATATGAACCGGCGAATCAGGATGTTGAACCATGAAAGCATAGTAAATTCTTAAATTAATGTCTTTTTACAAATTTATTGTCTTTATTTTATTGGCTTTTTATAAAATTTTAAGCGATATTAAAATGTTTATGCCTTCAAAAAGAATTCTTAGAACTAACATTTTTTTAATATTTTTTATGTTATTTTGTGTGTTGTTCACCAATAAAGTCTACTTGGCGAGATTGCGCCAACAAAAACGGAAAAGTACCCAATTTTTTTTTTTGAAATTGTTAAATATTAAAAAA